CCCAAATGTTCCATAATGTCCATGTTAACAATGAAAATCAAAGCATCATATTCTTGAGTAAGCCTAGATGTTTTTCAGCAGACTTATTTGAGTATTTGGTATTTGGCAAGTTTCTTTTTTTATTTCTTCTTCTATTAAACACAAGTATTGTAAATTGGTAACCATTGCCATCCGGTGAAAGAAAAACAAATACTATAGAAGTCAATGGCAACCAGTTTTCTACAGTTTTGAAAATATCTGCTTTTGGGTTCAGCAGATGAAAACAAACAAGAAAAGCACGAGTAAATGATGGCAGAATTTTTGGCTGAACTCTCCCTTTATAGAGCCTAGCAGTATTTTTAATAACAAATTTGCATTGATAATTAATTAGATTAATAACGTAGTGAGACATCATCAAGTAAATCTTGCAACAAAAAATACTTTCAGATATTTTTAATCATTTTTTTTCAAGTATTTGTGTGTGTTTATTTTTAGTAGAATATTCCACTTATTTAATTTACTGTAATTTATTTTATCAATTGGTTCATGCCCCAAATGTTCTATAATGTACATGTTAATAATAAAAATCGAAGCATCAACAAAAATAAATTCATCCTGAGAAATATTCTTGAGTAAGCTAAATATGTTTTTAGCAGATTCAGCAGACTTATTTGAGTATTTGGTATTTGGCAAGTTTATTTTTTGATTTCTTCTTCTATTAAACACAAATGTTGTAAACTGGTAACCATTGCCATCCGGTGAAAGAAAAACAAATGCTATAGAAGTCAATGGCAACCAGTTTTCTACAGTCTTGAAAATATCTGCTTTTGGGTTCAGCAGATGAAAACAAACAAGAAAAGCACGAGTAAATGATGGCAGAATTTTCATTTTTGGCTGAACTCTGCCTTTAAAGAGCCCAGTAGCAGAATTTTTGACAACAATTTTGCATTGATAATTAATCAGATTAATAACGTAGTGAGACATCATGAAGTAACTTTTGCAACAAAAAATACTTCAAATATTTTTAATTGTTTATTTTTTGTCAAGTATTTGTGTGCGTTTTTATTTTTAGTAGACAATTCCACTTATTTAATTTACTGTAATTTATTTTATCAATTGTTTCGTGCCCCAAATGTTCAATAATGTCCATGTTAACAATGAAAATCAAAGCATCAACAAAAATAAATTCATCCTGAGAAATATTCTTAAGCAAGCCAAAGATGTTTTATTTAATATGTTTAACCTGACTGTCCTCTAATTCATGCAGCACAGAACAGAAAGCTGTGGATTATTATCTGGGTCAGGCTTTGTGGTCGCTTTACCTTTCTGTAAATCTCCTCTGGTTTGAAAGTAAAGTGTGTCATTTCTGAACATCTAGCAAGCGAACAGAAGGTCAAACCAAAGACTGCCTTCAAACAGGTTTCATCTGTCGACAGAGAGTCCCGTCTGACGAGCAGAACAACAAAAACAGCAAACAGACTTCATAATGTACATTAAAAAGGAAAGAGTATATACACAAGCGACGTACAGTGTGACTGCAAAAATTTAATTTAGTGCTACACTCTAAACAATTCTGGGTTGTTTAACCCAATGTTGGGTCAAACTTGTACAAACCCAATACTTGAGTTTCAATATGCAAGTAAAATTAATGGGATAGTTCTCCAAGATCTGAAAAATCTGTCACCATTCTTGATCCAAACCAGTTTGACTACCTTTCCTATGTTTAACACAGAAGAAGATATACTGAATAAAAGAAGATATTTTGAAGAATGTTGAAAACCTGTTACCACAGTACAGTAGGTGTTTTTTCCACTATGGAAGTCAATGGTTACAGGTTTTCAACATTCTTCAAAGCATCTTCTTTAGTGTTCAACAGAATAAAGAAATCCATAGAGGGTTGTAATGTCTTCAGAGATAGTAAATAGTGAGTAAATTGTCATTTTTAGGGGTGAACTAGCCCTTTAAATTGACAAAAGGTTAACTTAGCATTAGGTTCGTCCATGTAGGTTAAAAAAAACAGTATTTTTAGGGTGTAAACTGACTAGTGCACATGCCACAAAAACCCATTAGATCCCATTTTAAAATTATATACACAATTTCTGCATGTGTTTCATATATTATACACTTGACATCATTTTTTACAGCAGTTTCTTGTTCATGCCTACACCACGGCTGGCATGCAAGAGTTTCAAATCCCACATTTTGACGCACCTCGCATTTAAACATGCAAATAAATCAGTGAATCACATCCGCTTTGCTTTCAGAAGAGACGTCTCTTTAGTGCCTTCCCATAGAAAGTTTTGTGGTTGATTTGTTTAGGTTATAATCAAAGCTTGGGTTCTAAAGTAAAAGTCCCATTCATTTTATTAATAACAAGGCAAACATTTTGCAAGGTATTTCCCAGCAGTGTGTGATTGAAGCAAAACAATTGGGGTGAAAAACTCTCAACGGCAATTTTCCATCGATTAATTTGGGGAAATATTGCAAAGTCATTTGTTTAATGCACACACACACACATACACACACACACACTCCAGTTATATATTTGACAATAGACAGATATTTAAATATCCATAATATTGCTGCTGAAAGATAGTCCACTGTGCAAAGACATATGAAAATGACATGTGGTCGACAAACATGTATTTTTAGTCCCCTGAAAGTGCTGACTTTGATGCCATAGATGACATATTTTTAAATAATGATTTACAAACCATGAGTAATGGTATATATTGATATATAAACATAATATTTAGAGGGTGACTTTTTTTGAGTGGTATTTATTATCTGGTCATAGCAATTTTCCATTTTTTTTTTTTTTACTTCTATTAAACACAAATGTTGAAAATAGGTAACCATAGCCATTAGTAGAAGAAAACCATTGCCATCAGTAGAAAGAAAAACAAATACTATGGAAGTCAATTGCAACCAGTTTGATACAGTGTTGAAAATATCTGCTTTTGGGTTCAGCAGAAGAAAAAAAGCAGAAGAAAAGCTTGAGTAAATGATGACAATTTCATAAACTGGCTGACATATCCCTTTAAAGAGTCTAATAACAGTATTTTTGATAAAAAAATTTGCATTGATAATTATGCTGCATTCATGAGCTGCTTTTTGAAAATAGTTTTACAAATAATAATAATAATAATAACTAAATAAATTCTGCTAAAATGTAAAAATAAATTCTGCAAAAATTCTGAAATAAATTCTGCAAAAATTCTGAAATAAATTCTGCTAAAATAAAAAAAATAAATTCTGCAAAAATTCTGAAATAAATTCTGCTAAAATAAAAAAATAAATTCTGCAAACATTCTAAAATAAATTCTGCTAAAATGTAAAAATTAATTCTGCAAAAATTCTGAAATAAATTCTGCTAAAATTCTGAAATAAATTCTGCTAAAATTCTGAAATTAATTCTGCTAAAATTCTGAAATAAATTCTGCTAAAATGTAAAAATAAATTCTGCAAAAATTCTGAAATAAATTTTGCTAAAATGTAAAAATAAATTCTGCAAAAATTCTGAAATAAATTCTGCTAAAATTATGAAATTCTGCAAAAATTTGGAAAAAAATTCTGCAAAAATTTGGAAGTATATTCTGCTGAAATTTGGAAATAAGTTCTGCTGAAATTCTGAAATAAATTCTGCTGAAATACGGAAATAAATTCTGATAAAATTCAGAAATAAATTCTGCTAAAATTATTAAATAAATTCTGCTAAAGTAGGCGGTCCATTAACATCACATTACACTGATTTGAAATAAACTCAACTTCAACTGTGACAACTGAGCTGAAGCAGTTTCAGTTTACAAGAACGTCTATATAAAGCTACTTTTACAATCTACATCGTTAAAGTGCTATAGAAATAAAGATGACTTGAAACCTAACATCTCCTGAAAAAAGTATTTTTTTTAAAGTTGTTTATATATTTAAAAAAAGCATTATTTGAGGATTTGTTTAATAAGAAAAGACAGAAAAGAATGCAATGTTGCAACGTCTCCCGAAAAGTGTCTTTTCCCCTCCACCTCCAGAGTATGAACCCCGAGTACAGCATCTGCATCCAGTGGTAATCTAAAAGCTGAACCAGTTTCTTTCTTTTCCTCTGACGGGCATGCGAAAGCTAAACTCTTCATTTGCACATTTACTCACTTTGCACACTTAATTTGCACAAGCTTACTATTAACTTTCAAATCAGGAATAACCAATGACATTAAACAACAGCTCTCTCTATATTTTCATTCATAAAAGCTCGAATGACAAAAAATCAACAAAAACTCAAGTCTGGTCAGAGCCACTCCCCCTGAGAATTGTCCATCTCTGATTGGCTCCTGCACTAGAGGGCGGGGCTTCATATTGCCATATTGACTGTTACACTTTCCCCCATTTAAAACTATACAAGTGACATGTCCTGTGTCTGCTATAATCTTTGAAAGAGTGCAATATTGCATTTATGAGCAGTTTTTTTGCAAAAGAAATTCTGCTCAAGCACTGGGCGTCCCATTAAAATTAACCTAACGTCTCCTGAAAAGTGTCTTTTCCCTCCACGTCCAGAGTATAAACCCCAGCATATGCATCCAGTGTTAATCTAGAAGCTGAACCAGTTTCTGTCTTTGGCTTTTCCCCTGATGGGCATGTTGAAGCTAAACACTTAAATTGCAGAGTCAAAGTCCCTTTAAGGAAGGGGTGTCCAAACTCGGTCATGGAGGGCCGGTGTCCTGGAGAGTTAAGCTCAAACCCTAATCAAACACACCTTAACAAGCTAATCAAGCCCTCAAGATATACTAGAAACATCCTGGCAGGTCTGTTGAAGCAAGTTGGAGCTAAACTCAGTAGGACGCCGGCCCTCCAGGACCGAGTTTGGACACCACCCCTGCTTTAGGGCAAGTCATCTCACTTGGTGGCCATCTTTGAAACATCTCTCAGGCAGTATATTTAAATGGAGAGACATCAAACTCTCCAAAACTGCTAGCCAAGCTTACTATTAACTTTCATATCAGGAATCACCAATGAAATTAAACAACAGCTCTCTCTATAGTTTCATTCATAAATGCTTGAATCACACAAAATCTGCAGAAACTCGCTTCTGGTCAGAGCCACTCCCCCTGAAAATTGTCTGTCTCTGATTGGTTCCTGCATTAGAGGGCGGAGGTTTATTCACCATATTGACTGTTACACTTTCCCCCATTTAAAGCTATACGAGTGACACGTTTTATGTCTTCTACAATCTTTGAAAGAGAGCAATATTGCATTTATGAGCAGTTTTTTTTTGCAAAAGAAATTCTGCTGAAGAACTGGGCGTCCCATTAAAATTAACCTAACGTCTCCTGAAAAGTGTCTTTTCCCTCCACCTCCAGAGTATAAACCCCAGCATATGCATCCAGTGTTAATCTAGAAGCTGAACCAGTTTCTGTCTTTGGCTTTTCCTCTGATGGGCATATGGAAGCTAAACACTTAATTTGCAGAGTCAAAGTCCCTTTAAGGCAGGGGTGTCCAAACTCGGTCATGGAGGGCCAGTGTCCTGGAGAGTTAAGCTCAAACCCTAATCAAACACACCTTAACAAGCTAATCAAGCCCTCAAGATATACTAGAAACATCCTGGCAGGTCTGTTGAAGCAAATTGGAGCTAAACTAAGTAGGACGCCGGCCCTCCAGGACCGAGTTTGGACACCACCCCTGCTTTAGGGCAAGTCATCTCACTCGGTGGCCCTCTTTAAAATACCTCTCGGGCAGTATATTTAAATGGAGAGACATCAAACTCTCCAAAACTGCTAGCCAAGCTTACTATTAACTTTCATATCAGAAATCACCAATGAAATTAAACAACAACTCTCTCTATAGTTTCATTCATAAATGCTTGAATCACACAAAATCTGCAGAAACTCACTTCTGGTTCGAGCCACTCCCCCTGAAAATTGTCTGTCTCTGATTGGTTCCTGCATTAGAGGGCGGAGCTTTATTCACCATATTGACTGTTACACTTTCCCCCATTTAAAGCTATACGAGTGACACGTTTTGTGTCTTCTACAATCTTTAAAAGAGTGCAATATTGCATTTATGAGCAGTTTTTTTTTTGGCCCTCTTTGAAATACCTCTCGGGCAGTAGATTTGAATGGGGAGACATCAAACTCTCCAAAACTGCTTGCCAAGCTTACTATTAACTTTCATATCAGGAATCACCAATGAAATTAAACAACAGCTCTCTCTATAGTTTCATTCATAAATGCTTAAATCACACAAAATCTGCAGAAACTCACTTCTGGTTCGAGCCACTCCCCCTGAGAATTGTCTGTCTCTGATTGGCTCCTGCACTAGAGGGCGGGGCTTCATATTGCCATAATGACTTTGAAACTTTCCCCTATTTAAAACTTTACAAGTGACATGTCTTGTGCAATGTATAGTCTTTTATAAAGAGTGCAATGTTGCACTTAACTAAAGAAAAAACGAAAGAAATTCTGCAAAAGAAGTGGGCGTCCCCTGAAAAGTGTCTTTCTCCCTCCACCTCCAGACTGTTAACCCTGAGTACAGCATCTGCATCCAGTGTTAATCTAGAAGCTGAACCAGTTTCTGTCTTTAGCTTTTCCTCTGACGGGCATGTGGAAGCGCACCTCCTTCCAGAAGCGTTCCGAGGGCTGCAGAGAGCTGGTCCGCTCCTCTGATCGCCTGTCCTGGATCGCCCACCCCCACCTCCTCCTCCTCTTCCAGGCTTGTAGAACACCCTGTTTGTCCTTTAGCAGGCGTATGGCAAGTGGCAGGCACAGCGGGTCCCGGATCTCCTCCAGCTCCAGCAGGACGATGCTCATGGAGTGATCAACAAGTGCACGGTGGAGCCCCGTCTGCTGCTCCGCCCATTCCTGCGCCTCGGGACTGCAGAGGGAAGAGGCCGTGTAGAGGAGCAGCAGACGCCGGCAGCGGCTCAGAGCCTCCTGCACCACATCCACCACAGCTGCAGAAACACACAGGAGGAGATTAAAACACACACAAAAAAAAAAATCTAAACTAACCATATTATGGTGTTAGCTCACATTGCTGGTTTTGTGATAAACAATTCATCTGGTCACGTCATAAAAAAAAAAACATGTTTGCTCTTGTAATCTTGAATGAAAATCTGAAAATGCACTTCCTGTTTGTTTTCGGTTAAATTCTCAGATTATGGGCCCTATCATACACCACGCAATACTTGTTTGCTAGTTTCAGCTCGGCGCAAGAGTCGTTTTGAGGCGTTGCGCTACGCTGTTTAAATAGCAAATGCATTAGCGCTCATTTGTGCGCCCATAGGCGTTCTGGTCTAAAAAGGAAGGCGTTCTGAAGCGCATTGTTGGCGCGTTGCTATTTTGAGAAACTATAATAGATTTTTCATTAGACCAAAACTAACCCGGTCTAAAGTCCGGCGCAGAGTTGCGCCTCGCTTACCCACTGCTTAATACACACAAGATGTAAAGCAATACAAAATATCTTTACATATGAAAAAAATGTAAATATTAAGGATATATATATATATATATATATATATATATATATATATATATGATATGATAAGAATATATATAGGATATAAATATAAAGGATTAAAATATTATAAAACATATTATTTTCTAGCCTACATAAATATGAAAAACCACTGCTTTTATGTCTTCTTCATCTCGGGAGGCTTTTTCAGTTGATTCAATTTGCTTTTGTATAATGTTATTATTATTAGCAGTATTATTTATTATCTGCATATTTATATTTGTTTTATTAAAAACAAGCTTAGATTTGCCCACCTGTCAGGTTTTAGACCATATGGGGCACAGCATGTGTTTTAGGATATAACTCATGTTTTTGAGCACACTTCGTTATTATTGTTCATTTATTTGTTTGCTGGAAATTAGAACTGAATTTAGAAATAATTTTGAAAAAAATCTTTGCGCTTAACAAATGCAATTAATTATTTATAGACTAATTGATGTCTGTGCTTAAAGGTTTCCCTATCCAAGATAGCGAAAGTGAAAGTAGATCTTTTATCTCTCATTCTCGCACAGTAGATGCTCTGTTAAACTGTTTTCTTGCTAGAGAAATGCTCAGTTTTTCCACTTACACTTACTTTGCGTCCTGTAAATAGCAAATTTGCTTATGGCGTGATGCAGCTGGCTCTTAAAGGGAATGGGAGATGAGACTCTGATTGGTTTATTCTCAAAACACACCTATAACTCATTAAGAAAATAAACTCAACTCTTTTAAACCATGTGCCACGGCGCAAAGTGGATTTTCCCGTCCTTAAATCAGCAAATATGGATTCTGACACGCCCTAATTGCGTTTGCGCCCTGCGCTTTTTGTTTTGCTCATGGACCGTCAAAATAGGTCTGTTTGTAGTTTTGGCGTGGCTAACACTAAGGTTATAACAGTTTTGATTTTTCATTAGTTTTTTTTTTCACTTTTGACTTTTGTTTTTAAATTCAGTTAGTTTTAATTCGTTTTAGAGGCAGATTTACTCGTTTTTATTAGTTTCTATATTTTAAAATGACTTTTTTTTTTAGTTTAGTTTTTATTAACTTCAGTATTAGTTTTAGTTATTTCTAAATGAGGATATTTGTTAGGTGCAAGATTTAAAATCAACAGAGGGGGGTGGGGGTGTCGCTACGCCACTGATATTTGGTCAATTTTAGGTTGTGTTAGAAAGTGACCAAAATCCAACTCCGAGGCAACATCTTAAACCAACGTCATATTGACATCAAATACTGACATTTATTCCTCAGGTAAGGCAACCACAATCCAACATCTGATAGACGTCATAGTGGTAACGTCCACACAATGTCAAGCTGTAACATCATTAGACGTTGATATTAGGTTGGTTTTAGGATGGACATTGACGTTGCCCTGATGTTGAGTTCTGACGTCCACCTGATTTTCATTTCCAAACAAAATGCAACATCCCCACGACGTTAGGGTACAACGTCAATCTGACGTCATGTTGACATCTTGTGCCTGCTGGGTGTTTAAGGCCATTTCGGTTATCATACAGTAAACATCCGTCATCTTCTCATCAGTGACATGCATTTAAACAGTCTCTGGGTCAATGCGTGTAAAGATTTTTGGCATCTTCTTGGACACTTTAATGCTTCCAAACAGTTTGCTGCAATTATAAATCGCCATGTCTTGAGGTAGTTCATGATGAGGCCATTTGCCTTCTATGTGTGATTTGATTGGACAGGAAACACAGGAGTGATTCTTCTAATCCCCATAGACAAGAAATAATAAAGTTGTGACTGCAGGATGAAGTAGTGGAGTAAAAGTACAGATACTGCACTAAAAATGAACTCAAGGAAAAGTAAAAGTACACATTTCTAAAACTGCTTAGTAAATTACAATTCCTGAGGAAAACTACTCAATTACAGTCAGTTAAGTATTTGTTATTAGTTACTTTACACCACTGGGTTTGTTCATATTGCAGTATTTGAGGATTTGTCTAATGAAAGAGAGAGAGAGAGAGAGAGAGAGAGAGAGAAAAAAGAGTGCAGTGTTGCATTTATGAGATGGCTTGTCTCAGCTTCATTCATTCACTTTCCTTCAGCGTGGTCCCAGCGGTCGCCATAGCAGAATGAACCGCCAAATACTCTGGCATATGATTTATGCAGCGGATGCCCTTCCAGCCGCAACCCAGCACCTTGCCAGGAAACTGGTTTCAGCTTCTTAGCTCCTTTTTTTTTTACCAAGAATTAAAAAACCCCTTTCAAAAGAAATTCAGCTGAAGAAGTGGGCGGCTGGGGCAGCACGGTGGCTCAGTGGTTAGCACTGTCGCCTTACAGCAAGATCACTAGTTCAAATCCCAGCTGAGCCAGTTGGCATTTTGAGTGGAGTTTGCATGTTCATTAATTTTCCTTCAACTAAGTCTCCAATTTATCAGAGGTCGCCACAGCGGATTGAACCGACAACTATTCCAGCATATGTTTTTATCGTAGCACTCAATCCAGCGACCTTGAATTCCCTCATAGCGCATGTGTTTGGACTGTGGGGGAAACCGGAGCACCCAGAGGAAACCCACGCCAACATGGGGAGAACATGCAAACTCCACACAGAAACGCCAACTGACCCAGTTGGGACTCGAACCAGCGACCTTCTTGCTGTGAGGAGACAGTGCTAACCACTGAGCCACCATGTCACCCCTGAACAAACCCATTAGATCCCATTTTTTAAATGACACATCATTTCTGCATGTGTTTCATATATTATACACTTGACATTGTTTTTACAGCCGTTTTTTTTTTTCATGCCTACACAACGGCTGGCATGCAAGAGTTTCAAATCCCACATTTTGACGCACCTCGCATTTAAACATGCAAATAAATCAGTGAATCACATGCGCTTTGCTTTCAGAAGAGACGTTTCTTTAGTGCCTTCCCATAGAAAGAAAGCTTTGTGGTTGATTTGTACTTTTTGGATTCTAAAGTACTCCCAACTCACAAAATAGCTTCCACCCACTGACTTTTTTAAAGTTTCAAGAAATACTTGTGTATTTTTTTTTTGAGATGTTAACAGATGTGTGTGTGTTGAGCATCAGTTAAGACAACATTAGCACCAATTAGCTTTAATTGTGAGGAAAACTGGGTAATTTGAAGCTTTTGTCAGTGTAACAGGTATTAAATTTATTTATGTTTTCGTTATAAATTCACGCAAAATCTTTGTTTTGTTGGTCATTAATATGTAAGAAATAAAGAGAAAATGTTTTATTTTTGTTTTGACGTGTCGGCGCGATGACGTCATTGACGTGCGTTGCCGCGGTGACGTCAGTGACATAGCGCGCGCTTTGCTTCAGTCTGTCGGAGGACAGAGCAGAGCGAGGTAGGCATTTACTCCTGTCCCGTAGAAAAGTGTGTATAAAGTACAAAAATATGTAATTTAGATGAAGTGAGTTTGTTATAATATGTTATATAACATGTACATGAGTTATATGAGTGTGTTTGGGTTCTTTATATCGTGTTTTAACCTGCCAAACTGTCGTTTCAACCAAGAGAAGTGCAGTGCACAATATTAGCATGAAATTTAGCCTGTGAAATGTGTATTTTGATTGCTGATTTTCGATTTGTTTTGTGTATGAATGTTTAGCAGTAGCAGGCGTAAGAGGAGTTTTAAGAGAAGACTAACTGCATGTTCTCTGTTTGTGCAGGTATTGTTTTTTGTGTTTTATGTGTCTGATGTTTAATGTGTTATATATAATACTGGTAAATGTTATATATTATATATTAAGTGGAGTTTTTGTAAAGCATTGGTAAGTTAAAATATTCACTATATTAATTAACAGTTTTATAATGACTTATATTTTTTCATTATGTTATATGTTATATTTACTGTTTTGTTCTTGCTTGAGTCTGTCGGAGGACAGAGCAGAGCGAGCAGTAGCAGGCGTAAGAGGAGTTTTAAGAGAAGACTAACTGCATGTTCTCTGTTTGTGCAGCACTTAAATAAATGAGACCGCTGAACCTGCAGACAGACTCCAGCTCTTTACACAACACAACACAATGCAGAGTGGTAGTCGAGCCGTTAAGACCGGCCCCGGCTACATCAGCTAGTTTAAGCTTCCGGGTTTTAAATGATTTTTGGGGTGGATCAAAATCCGCGACATAGCAAAGAACTGCAAGTGCAAAGATGATGCGTTGGTTTTTCATTATTATTCATAGCGGAGTTTTCTTATCCTATGAGAAGAGCCGGCTTCTTAATTATTCATGACTGTGGTGCTTTCCGAAGTCAAGACTGACCTTGCCAGGGCCAAGCTGTGAGGCCCTACGCTGAGGACTGGGTGAGACGAGTCCACGGACCAACAGCACACAGTATTTAGCCGTTCATGAAGGATCATATGTTTGTTTCCATGATCCACGGGGTTTGTTGCATATTTTTCCCACCAATGCTGTCAGGGCCAATACAGCAAAGCTGTGTGTGTGCTGCTAGCATTTTTGTCGGGAGAACAGTACGAGAATTGGAGAATGGCGGACGCTGTCTTTTATCAGGAGTTCGTTCACATTCAGACACATCGCCGTGCTGCTGTGTTCGCCTAAATCCTCTAGATCAGGGGTTTTCAAACTTTTTCAGCTGAGGGCCCCTTTGTGTAGGGCGAATTCTTTTGGGGACTCCCCAAAAATCAAAATGACGCCACCCCCTCAAATTAACAACTGTACTTAATTTTTTTATTGTATTATTCAATACATTTATATTATTATATATTATTCAATAAATTTATATTATTCATTATCTGGATTAATTTTTGTAAGATGTTAGTTGAGTTGACATTTCAGTGCTTCAATCTATTGATCAAATCTTGATGCGCAGTACTCATTGTGGTCTGCTCTCACTGGATTATTCCATCAAGCCATATTTTGTGTACAAGTCGTCACTTTACACAGTTATTATGCCATTTTTATGCTTTTTTCCAGCCTATGCACAGCTAGACTCTTCTGTATTTACCCTTACAACTGAGAGTCTAAATGTATCTAAAGATTTAAAGCTTTAAAGTTTTAAAGAGTTTTGTCATTCATCAGCCTGTTAACAGTTACCTGTACTGTTGTAACTAGCCATACTACAATGGAGGCTGTGTGTTTTGTTTATTTTTATTCCTTTTTTTTTTGGTGCACATCATAATTTACTCAGGTCGACAATCCTGACTTACACTGATAAAAAAATAATTTCCTAAATTCAATCTAGAATTGGGTATTCAAGTTCAAAGAGCCCCAAGTTTTACTTTGCATAATTTTAGAATCTTTGCTGACTTTAAAATGTTCATACCAGTTTGTTCTATTAATACTAATACTGAACATTATATTTAAATTAAACAAATAAATATGGGAAAAAGTGGAACAAAAATGCATTTATATTCAGAGTATTAAAATTTGATCAGGTATGTTGAGCTCCATTAAATACAGAGCACTAATACATTTTAATATTTAATAATTAAATAGCCCTATAACATAACACAAACAGATGCATTATAATTTTTAAAGGCTATAGTGGTTTTATTCAGGGTGTATACAATTTAGTTTTTTTTAATCATCCAGTTATGAACCAATGTAAGAGGTTCACTGCAGAGCTCATCCAGCTGTCATTAGTGTAACAGGAGTGAAACTAAGCACTCGCTGATGTGATGACAGCTTTATTCATTGTTATTGCAGCACTTTTTGCTTTACAATTTTAATATGTTTGTTTGCCATGCTGCAAAGAGGACCGTCTGATATTTGTACAATGCAAAGTGTAAAAGCCTGTCGCGCTGTGGACGAGGTGCAATGTTGTGCCGTGTCTTTAAAATGCTATTTGTTCCCTATAAGTGAAGCCTGCGGAGAGAGGTGCGCGCTCCGCAGCACCTCGGTTACTTAGGAACGCAAGCCATAAACAGGGTAGTGCTTTCAGCCACCGATAATGTACTTATTGATCATGTATTTTAATTGAAATATTGTCAGTAAATAGACCTGAGCATTCGTTTAGTTGTTTAGCGTAAAAGAGGTAAGCGTAAGTAAAAGGTAAACGCCGTCAGGTGCAGCAGACAAGCGCCAAAAATCACAGTCAGGAAGCGCCTGGCCAGAAGCGCTTATTCAATAAAAGTCCCCGTCCACGGAGGCGGGCCGCTGCGCTTCTTTTCCTGTGTCAAGAAAGTGTCAACTGCATTTAAATGACATAAGCATAAAGCTTCATTTTTGCAGTACTTTTGAGCTCAAATTATAATAAAATATATTAACCTTCAGAATGATGCGGGACACAAAATTCATCCATGTGGGCTCATTGATCTAAAATTTCTTTGCGGCCCCCCTAGTTTGAAAACCCCTGCTCTAGATTAACAGCAGGGCTAATGGTTAAAATAGACAGGGCAAGAGACCTGCTGCACTAAGTCTGCATTCAGACCCAGAGATTGAGGGAAAAGTCCTCATTTAGTGTTAATATGAACACGGTTATCTTTATAATGATATAAATTGTGGTTATGTGTATATGAAATTATGAATAACAAATGTAGCAGGGCATTAAATTACTGTTTATTTATTTGCATTTTAACTTTGTAAACTATAAAATCATGCGTCTCCTTCCGGTTTGTGTCTCATTTTGTGAGCAGACTGTCAACAGTTGCTCGCTCCCCTCCTTCTCCCCTGCTGGTCACGCCCACTCCTGCCCTCTGCTCGCAGAGCTCCACGCCCACTATGATGCATCTTTTGAAAAAATTCTGAGGTAGACCTGAACCGAAAGCGGGGGGTGACATGACCCTTTAATGCACATGTTGAATGATCACATATTAAACGGTTGATGTGCGTACATTTTGAAAATATGCATTAAAACTCATGTGCATTTTGTATTACGCAATTTGTCTGAAAAGAAAATGTGCATAAATTCCAGCATGCACATCAGAAGAGTCATGTGATTCAGTTTCAACAGATCATATATGGACATAACAGGTGGTTTAGAGTGGTTTGTTTATTCAGAGATGCTTTACCTTCCCCAGGCAGCCCGTCACGGCCCAGAATGAAGAGTTTATAACCGTATCGACCCTCCAAAATCTGCGGCAAAGTGCTCATGGCAAAAACCTCCGCCTTTTCACTAGAGCCCTCCAGGACTCTGGGATAGGCGATATATGCGTCATACTGCTTACCATCGCCATCTAAAGGAAAAACAACCACAGTGAAGAATAAAAGAGCAGTAACAATACTGTTTAGCGTTAATATAAATCTACTGTGCAGATTTTAATTTTTGTATATTGATTGAATTATAAACTGTATAATAATAATAATAATTATGTATGTTTGTATATTATGTATATGTATATATATATATATATATATATATATATATATATATATATATACACATATATGTATATATATACATATATGTATATATATACATATAATATAAATCTACTGTGCAGATTTTAATTTTTGTATATTGATTGAATTATAAACTGTATAATAATAATAATAATTATGTATGTTTGTATATTATGTATATGTATATATATATATATATATATATATATATATATATATATATATATGTGTGTGTATATATATATATATATATAGTATATTATGGTGTGAAATAAATAAAATGAGTAAAAATAAATCTACTGTAGCTGTAGGTAAAATCTTTTATCTGAAAACAACCACACACCTCTGAGTTCAGCAGCCAATCAGAATCAAGCAATCAATATTGATTTCTTTCTTTTT